TGGTATGGCCGGATTTTGAGGGGGAGAGAAAAGCTAGGGAAAAAAAATGAGGCTTATCCTATGGTGGTTCCTTTTATAGGCACTTAGAAATTATTTTTTTAACACCACATCAACTCTCTCAATCAACCAAATTTTGGTTCAATTTCCCCCAATCTTGGCCGGTTATGGAAGGAAAAAGGAGAAGCCAAAATTGCCATTAATTCCCCTTCAACCACTACCATCCCATCACCTTAACTTGTAGCCTTCTAACATACTCAACATATAACCAAAATTTTTGGATATAACTTCCTAAGGATGGCCGGCCAAGTGAAGAGAAAAAAAGAGAAAAAAAACTAATCATTAGTCCTATTCACCTCTCTCATCACATCTCATCAAATCACACACACTAACCTACACCTTGTACTTTTGTCCATTCCCTTAACTTACTCATTAAAACTGTCCAAAATCATACTGACAGTTATTTTCTCCTGTATACGGGTTCTGGATGCTAGGTTGTACTGTGCTGGGAGATTCTTAAAATTAAGATTCTCTAACTGTATCTATACTGGAAATTCTTCCGTTTTAAAGTACGGTGAGAATTTATCGATCGAATTTACTTGATCGGAAAAATGTGAACTTAACGTGAAATCTGCTACAGAATTTAGGAATGCAGATGTTAATTCCCTAAATCCTTCAATCACAAAATGTACATAGTATAATAATTTTCCAGGAAAATCCTTGACTTGAATACATAAATTATATTATTAAAATTATGAGATTTTTCTTGATTACTACAAAAAATACACATAAATAAAAAATAATTTTAATTTCGTGATTATAATCACGAACTAAACGTCTCCTTACAAAAAAGTGTGCTGTATACAAAGCAGTAGGTCCCACCAGGAAAACGACACAGGAGAAGCTCGGAGACGAGGAAACTGTCGTGAAAACGGAGGATAAGATAAAATTTCAAAATAGGCATAGAAAAACTCCCTTAACCGCTACTAAGAAGAAGAAGAAGAAGAAGAAGAAGGGGATTTCAGATTAGAAACAGCAAAAGGTAAAAGCTTCCTCCGGCAAGCACCAATTTTCGTCAGTCACCGACGGTTGCATGGAAATCCGGTGCATCCGAGTGCATTAAATCGTAATTGCATGTGGTTGATGGCAACGCTTCCACGTGTCCCGTCGTTGTTGGTCTCAGTCACTTCCGTGAGTGAATGCCGTAAATGCAGTTCGTTGAAATCCTCAATTGCACTTCCAGAACCTTCCAACTACTTCTCTGTTTCTCTTAGTTGTATTTCTTCTTCGTTAAAAGCAAAGAAATCGAAACGATTTGGGAATTCTCTCTCTGTTTCGGCGGCAATGGCGGATTTGGCTACTGTTCTCGTTACTGGAGCTGGTGGCAGGACTGGTATTTTTTTTTTCTGTTTGTTTCTCGAGAAAATAGGAAGATCTATGGTTTTGTTTTTGCTTCTTTCTGTTTCTTTTTCAGATGAGTTTCTTAGGTGTTGAAGGAAACGTGCTCAGGTTTTGATGATTGTGAAAATGATATTTCAGCTGCTAAACGCTGGTCCAAGCTTTGTATATTGATTTTTTATTTTCAGCAACAAAATAATTAAAAAAAAAAGATGTTGGAGGAAGCACTTTGTTGTTTTTCTAATTATTTCCTTCAAAAATTTACTGTTTTTCCGTGAACAATTATTTTTATGTAGTAAAGATTATTTTTTTCTTTCCTGCTAAACTTTCTGTGGTTTTATACAGTAAAGATTAATTAATAAAGAAAGCCTTATTTTGAGGCCTGAAATTGTAAAAACAGCAATTTGATTTAATTGGTAGAATCACACTCCTGAATGGCTCTTACACGAAATCTTCAAGTTATAATGTTATATGGAAAACACAAAATTCACTTGTATCAACTGAAGATTTCCTTGATTCTTTGAAGAATCTTAGTTGAATAATTTTTTTTGCCCCATTTCTCTGAGCTTTTTGCTGCTATTGTTGTATTTCAATTAGAGATTTCCAGCATTCTATTAGTCTGTGTTTAGAGATCTGTCTGTGATCAATATGGAATTGGTCGAATTTTGGCAGGTCAAATAGTTTATAAGAAGTTGAAGGAGAGGTCGGGCCAGTATGTTGCTAGAGGTCTGGTTAGGACGGATGAGAGCAAGGAGAAATTGGGAGGAGCGGACGATCTTTACGTCGGAGACATAAGGGATGCCAACAGTATTGCTCCAGCGATTCAAGGTATCGATGCTCTTATAATCTTGACGAGCGCCGTGCCAAAGATGAAAACAGGGTTTGATCCAACCCAAGGCGGGCGGCCTGAGTTCTACTTCGATGAGGGTGCATATCCTGAGCAGGTATAGTTTCTGATTCCAAAGCTGTTTGATTCCAGATGTTGAGGAGAGAGGTGAGAGAGAGAAATGGAAAGATAAGAAGAAGAACGATTGATGGGGAATTCTGAATAATTTCAATAGACAATAATCAAGGTCCGATTGAAAATAGAACCACTACTTCTATTTCTAGAGACAATAGAACAAAGCACTACATAAAGATAAAATAATGAAAATAAATCAGAAATAGACCAATTTCTAAACCACAAATTTACGCCCAATATAAGTGCTTAATCCAATAGTATTATCTCTGCCACTGTTTTTCTTGAATAATGTCATTTTTTTTTTTTTTACTTGGATTGATTTGGTATTTGCTTTATTGCATTCTAGGTTGATTGGATTGGTCAGAAGATTCAGATAGATGCTGGTAAGAATTCCATTCCAGCTTTGCGTATTGCGATTGTTTGATCTATTTCTTGTTTTGGTTAGTAGGTTCTGATTCCGTTGGTTGTTGATGAGCAGCCAAGGCTGCAGGAGTTAAGCAAATTGTGTTAATTGGCTCTATGGGTGGAACAGATCCTAATCATCCCTTGAACAGCTTAGGAAATGGAAATATATTGGTCAGTACTCTCCTATAGTTACTCTTAAGTTAACCCCTCCGTGTGATTGTGTCAATTAGTTTAAACATATTTTACACTCTTAGTTTATATACCTTTTGCTTGATGAATATTCTGATTGCTGAAACACCGCAATCAATCTTTACTGTTTCATAGATTTGGAAGAGGAAAGCTGAGCAGTATCTGGCCGACTCTGGTGTTCCATACACAATTATAAGGTAGAACAACAAATTTTTTTCCTGGAATTAAGAACAATACAAGAGAATAGAAAAGCGAAAATGGAATTCTTTCGTTGTACAAATATATCGTACTGGTTATTGGTCTTTTACTATTTGTACTGTTAATTTGACTTAGAGTGTATTTCTCTTACTGATTTAGGGCTGGAGGCTTGCAAGACAAGGAAGGTGGCGCCCGGGAACTGCTTGTGGGGAAGGATGACGAGCTTCTCAAGACGGAAACGAGAACCGTTACCAGGGCTGATGTTGCAGAAGTCTGCATTCAGGTATTGCTTTTACGGGCTTTGCAATCGGTGTTTCCCCGACTCTTTTCTCTGCTTATCCCAAAACAACATTGATTTTCGGTTACCTTTACTAAGTAGCTTTACTTTGTGCCTTTTGCTTTTAACCAGGCACTGCAGTTTGAGGAGGCCAAGTTTAAGGCCTTTGATCTGGCATCGAAGCCCGAGGGAGCTGGTACACCTACAAAGGATTTCAAGGCCTTATTTTCCCAAATCAACACTCGTTTTTAATCTCACTCTGATGATGCTGGTGTAGTAAGTTCTATGATGTCCGTCTTAGTTGCACTCGGAACATTTTTATTTACTTTTCGGAGAGTAATATTGGCTATTCTTCATGCCTGTACACACATTGTTAAAGCTGATGATAACCTGTGGATTCGATTGTCGTTTATGGTATTCTGAGGGATTATACTCGTAAGCCATACGCCCACGATGATTATTCATAAGATCCATATATGAATATTACTATGATGCTCTAAAATCATAAAAGGAAAAGAAAACAATTCTGTCTTAAGCATATATTACTCACTAATATATATATATTTTAAAAAAACCCACTTTTGCAAGCAGCCTTTAAATCTTTGTTCCTTAATATCTAATTGGTCTTCAGCGTCATTTTGCTTCCCTGATTTCAACTTTTAAAGGTCTTACAATAGTCTCAAAGCCTACCATTCTGTTGTCTTTTTGAACGTCTTAGAACAGTTAAAAGCTTTACTTCTTGCGCAATAAACTGCTATTTGGACATCAACAATAATAACATCAGTCACTAAGGTTGCAAATTCAGAATATTTCGTATCTTGGTATGTTCCTCTTCTGTAGCTGGAAATGAATATAACAATAGAAAAAGAAGCGCAATTTCATTTGAATTCTAAAATGGAAGGCCCTTAAGAATATGCATTGTCCTCATTTTGATGTTGAAGTGTAGTCTAGCTATAAACTGTCGACTTTTAAAAATGAGTAAGATTTTCCATAAAAAAAATGGCACATGAGTATTGTAAGAGATAAAATGGTTAAAAAACAAACAAATCTAAAAAGCTATTCGAAAATGGGAAAAAAAAAAAAAAAACACAAGATTTAGACGGGCAACACAATCTTTTTTTTTTTCAGACCTACTTCTTTTCTCTTTTCATATTTCTTTTTCAAAACCATTTGTTTTAATAATATACTATTTTTTTTCTCTCTCTTAAAAATCTTCACGTGCTATCCTGAGGTGAGATTATGTCTGAAAATGGATAATTCGAGAAAAATGCAAAACTAAAACTAGATATCGGGGCTGAAAAAAATAAAAAAATAAAAAAAAACCTAAATATCGGGATCAAAATAACGTGAAAAATTCCAACAAACCAAAAACGTCATATTTTTATTTTCCTTAAAACTCCTATTCCATATCTTCAACGAAACACACAAAGTCAGAAAGAGACTCAGAGGAGAGCAGAAAAATGGCGGTTTTCGTTTGCCATAAAGCTGTGACAGTGGTAGTGGTGGCCAAGTCCCAATCTCAAAACCCAAGCCCTAACTTCTCCAGCTCCCTCAGCTTCCGCCATAGCCAAAAGCTTACACCTTCATTATTCAACGCCCTCCCTCTACGTCGTCGTTTAGTCGTCGTCAATGGACATAACGAGGGCTCAAATTCCGACCTAGACAAACCACAAGGTTCTCTCTCTCTCTCTCTAAAAATGTTTTCAATTAAGTGTTAAATTTCAATAACTTAAACACAATTTTTGCCTCTAATTAGACCAGGAAGTGGACAATTTGGGCGTTAGAGCTGCTTTGTCAATTCTAAAATTCTACAAAGGTAAGCCTTTATTATTTCAATTTTTTTAAGCAATAAATTGTTATTTGGATAATCGAAAAATAAAAAAATTGTGGGTATTTTGAATTGGGAAATTTTCAGGAGAAATCTCACCGCTGTTGCCCAAGAGTTGTCGTTACGTTCCAACGTGTAGTGAGTATTCCATGGAAGCTTACAAGAAATATGGAGTTGTTAAGGGCACCATTTTGACTACTTGGCGTCTCTGTCGTTGTAATCCCCTTGGTAATTATTTATTTATTTTTTTCTTTTTTGGGTTAATCCTACTCATCCTAATCTATCATTTTGTTTCAGTTTTGCGAAATACAGAATATGTATGTGATCTTTAGGAAAAGTAACTAAAAAATTTATTTATGTTTCGTATTGTTTTTAACATCCAACTGACAAGAAAAATTAAAATGGAAATAAACTGATAGTTTAAGAACTCATTTATTTTACCGATTCGAGTTTTTAGTTCTAAGTTTTTATAGTGAAAAGCTCTCAGAAAATGTCACATCTAACTTTTTATGCTACAGTGAAAAGTTTTCACAAAATGTAACATCTTAGCTCGAATTGAAAACTCAAATTCGCGAAGTGAACGAAACATAAATTTGGGACAGTTTTGGGATCATTTGTGATATTAACTTTTTTTTTTTTTTTGGGTTTAGTTTTGTTTTAAATGAAAAAATTCAGGTTCGTTTATTTTACCGATTTAAGTTTTTGTACAGTAAAAAACTCTTAAAAACAGTCACATTTATAATAAGTTTTTTTTACATAAATTTACATTTTAATTTAAATTAAAAATTCGAATAAGTAAACACGTCATCAATCTTGTATGATGAGAATTTTTTGTTTTGTCTTTTGGTCAGGTGGGTCTGGATTTGATCCTCCACGATGGTTTGGTGAGACGAGTTTACCTGAAGAATAGCTCTACTTCAATTTCCTTATTGACAAAACAAATAGTACAGTCAAAATTGAGGTTGTAGTGCTAGTTTGTACATTCCTTTTATTTGTTTTTAAAGCTGTGTAATTGTCTGATATAAATATTGATGTACATAAATTCACACATGTTATGTTTTATATTGCATTTTTAGCTTTTCATAAGTTGCCACTTACGAGAAGGCTTTTTTTGGATGAACAATAAAATTGATGGTCTTAACAACTTCCAAATGTGCACAAATGATTATCTCTTTCGTTTTCATTGTAAGATGACTATAGTTTGCTTAATAGACAGAGAATAGGTTTACAGCTTTATTACCCAGGGTAGTCACATCTCTTTGATGAGATTTTGAACTTCTTATGTATTATGAGTTTAAGTTTATTATCTCCTATGCAAGTGATGAAGCCAAAGTCATATTCAGCATCAAAAAGTGTAAAAATAGCATGTTTGATATGTTATTTTAATTTGTGCTCCATGTTATTTCAATTACTAAATCTATCTTTTGTCATAAACTTTTACAACTTTATATAATACGGTGCACCGTATTATATTATATTGTATTGTATAATATTGTATTGCATTGTATAATTTTTATATAATAAGGTGTTTGGTTTGTGGTATTATTAAACATTATATTATTTTTACTATTGTAATCTATTTATGTATTAGTTTGTAATAAGGTAAAATTTAGGCTTAATTATAACTTAATTCGACTCTAATCTCGATCCGAACCCAACATTTAGAGGAAGCAAAGGAGAAAATAGAGTTGCCATATATGAGTCTTTTTGCAAAAATTTTTTTAAAAAGGGGTCAAGTTGTATTTTTTTAAAAATCAAGGTGCAAAATTATAATTTTAAAAAAGTTAAGGGATTAAAAATATAATTTTCAAAAAATTGAGGGGTCAAAACATAATTTTTTAAAAGTTTAGAGGTCAAATATAATTTTTAAAAAGTCTAGGGGTCAAAATGTAATTTTTTAAAAAATATAAACTCAACATCACTCCGGTACTGAAACTTGACCCCTACGTCGGTCCCAAAACCCAATCCCAAGCCTTGTTTGTGAAATATTTTAAATGTTTTTAATATGATATTTTATGTTAAATTACATAATACGGTCTAGTACATAGTTTTTTATTTTTTCATGTTGGATATCACCTTTCGTATTGTATTAATTTTGAATCTCGTATTAAATTGTACAATATATAAATATCACCAAACATTGTATTATTATTAAATAATAGAATACGGAGTGTTTATACGGTGTACCAAATATGCCATTAAGTTTTAAAATTATTTGAAAATGTTAATGTTGTAATGGTTAAATTAATTAAACACCAATAACAATGAAATGACAAAATTTGACATATATTATGCTGTATATTATATGCCAAATTTATACCATGAATAACATCGCATCCGCATTAGAGAGTGATTTTATTTCTCAAATGCTAAAATTGTTATTTATGTGCTAAATTATTCCTTTGAATTTTCAATCTAGTAACAACAGCTTCGAGATATATCTTCTATCTCAAAATTAGACTATTAGCTACAATTTCTCCACAAAAAGTCTCTGAAGGACCAAGTCATTTTATTCTTTGACGTTTGTTTTATGTATTTGTTCCTAATTTTAAATCACGATTTATGATTTTCTACAGTATTTTTCTCTCATAAAAAACACACGTAAAATGAGAATGATTCTAAATTATAGTTCTGAATCTATAAACCAAACGTCCACGCACAATCTAAAACCACAGTTCGGCTCATAGTTTTTGGTATCCATGAAAGCAACCATTAGTCACTGAACATTTTTTTAAACACCCGCACATACACCACATATAAATTATAATTGGTTGAGAGATAAGTGTACCAAAATAAAAGATTTAACATGTACTCAGGTTATTTTTGCTAATTAGGGATAAATAACTTGAATTATATTTTAGTTCAAATTTGACACCTGATATTTATTTTTAGATAGTATGCTACCAGATCTATTAAAAAAAAAAAAAAAAAAAAATTCCACATGTTACCCCGTTTGTTAGAAATCCAGTCACGTGGGTGAATTTTAGATAATTCTCTTTTTTATGTATTTTCTAAACATACAAATTTTTAAAAACGTGTAGATTTGGAGAAATGAACATCCAAGTACCAAGACTATTAATGCGTCCGTGAACACAATTCATGAGTTGCTAACTCCAGTTGTTAATTCAGCAGTGGATAATGTGGATATAAGACTGGTCATCGTTTTTCCTCTCTTTTATCCTGAATTCATTGTTCTTAAAAAATTTTACTTAATAAAACATTTTGTATAAATGAATGACCAAGATTCTCATTTCATTAATCGTATGTTCAATGTTTCTACCAATATAGTATGCTCAATGTGGGACTTTAAGCACATGAGGTATGAGTAAGCAGCAATTAAGTTAAAAAGTTACTCATATAGATATAACGTTAATGTGGAACTTTTCATTTTTTTCTTAATTCTTTTTTGGCCTAACTGGGAAGAAGTTTAAAAAATAACTCCAGATAAGGTTTAGCACCCACGCTCGATTCACGGGTTCGAATTATGTGGTTTTGAACTAAAAGTTTTGAATCTATTTTTTAGACCTATTTAGTGGTCGGAAGTGTAAAGTTTAAACATGAAATAAAACATCACATCAGAAAATAAAGGTCTGAACTAGTGTTTAGTTAGTGTGTAGACTGATGTTAACACGAGAGCAGTTTTTCGCCACTTTTCTGTAGATGAGGGGGTGAGAATGCATGTTTTAAAGATAAGGGGGCAATTTGACACATGGTACACTGTTCAAGGGGTATTTTTAAAATTAATCCCATAAATAATTAATACACACAGTATTATATAATAATAGGCTAAGATTAATTAGCTCATTACAGGATTAAAAATGAAAATTTCTGACTCAAGTGTGTCAAGAGAGTTTCCCATGCAGATGAGGATTAAAAATGAAAATTTCTATCAAAATATGACCATTAAGGTAATCATACAAGAAAATATGACCCACTTTTTAGAGTTGCAGGTTTTTTTTTTTTTTTTTTTTTTTTTTTTTTTTTTTTAAATTTTACAAAAGTTTTTTTTTAAATCTTACCAAAGAAATTCTCCTAAACGAATCTTTAATTAGGAAAGAGGCAAGTCAATTAGCATATAAAATTCCAAACTAATATTTTATTGATAAAGAATTCCTCATACCTAAAGTCCTAAACAACAAACGACTAAAGTCACATCAACGAGGAGTGAGTAAAGTGGTCCTAAATTCCCCCACCACGCAAAAGAGGCACTTTCACTTAAACTCCAAATGACTGGTCCTAATATTTTATGGCTAACTTTTCTTTGCGGAATCAAAAAATATCATTTAAATTTTATCTAGTGCAGTCAACCTCGATCCAAGACATCTTCATACCACAACTCTTAATTCCAATCCAACTCCAGACGTCTCTAGAATTCTTGTGGGCCAACACTTTGATCGAGATTGCAAGAAAATTCATTCACTTTTTCAGATAATTTTATTCTTACTTTTGTGAGCAAAATGGTCGCTCAAGGACTTGTTTATTCTTACTTTATGAGTACTAAACCTTTCAATAAATTTAATTAAACAAAAAGTTCCAATATAAGTATTATAGATTGATTAAATGCCTTGAAAGCATCTGATTCTTCAACATCCATTTCATAAAACATGTGAATGAAACTGCCCAATAAAGAGCAAAGCAAGAAGAAACTACAAAGGAGAGAGAGAGAGAGAGAGAGCAACTCATAAGAACTCGTACGCATCTTCTTCTCTGCTTTATTGAGCTGAAAAGGGTTGGTTTATGACTTCATGTACAAGCAGAACCTTTTTTCTTTTTTGTTTGCTGATTACCCCATTTGACCAAAAGATGAAGCAGCTTCTTATTAAAAATACAAGACGTGTAAAACAAATTGTTACATGGTTATGTAAGTGAAGGACTAAGCACCTTTTACAGTGGCATTATCTCAGCAGGACCAAAAAGGCAGATCTCGTGAAACCATCAAAAACAGCTACAACACTAGCCTGCCAGGTTAGGTTATAATCAAATTGTAAAATGCAGAACACAAAGGAATAAAGAAGAATTAAAAAGTGAAATAATTATGAAAAACTAGAAATGAAGAGGAATTACCTTTGATCCTCAATTGTAACTCTCCTTTCGAATGCTGAACCTTGGAGGCAGACCCAGAGCACTCGCCGAGCCTTCCAAATATGAATATCTTAGGCAGGTTTCCACGAAGAAAGGGCGAAGATGATTCGCCCTTTCCATCCCTGAACCAACCACCCGCCATCTTCATCGATTATAAAGTCCCTATGGTAAGTTGACCTTACTCTCTCAGATACCCTCTTCACAATATCCCTTCCAAAAGGGATTTGTACAAACCCGGACCTCATGATGCGGATTTGCCATTGTTTGTATGTCTCTGGTCTTTCCACTCTTGGCCAGCCCTCACAAGCTATGACATTTAAAGCCTCCCTGCCAAAGATCTCTTTCTCAATCAGCATCCGTTCTGGTTCCCCACGAGGTACAATAGTTTCGAGCATGTCGAATATTGCTGAGAAGTGAAACAATGCTTCCCGAAACCGGGTGACAAAGAAGGGTGCATTGTAAGCTCCATTAACAATCCCATGGATGAAGATATCAGGATTAATTTTCCTTATTAAATTAAGAACCATATTCCTTCCGCTTTCCACCGACACACTCTCATCGAGCAGGTTCTTTCCCCGATACAAACAATTAACTACGACGACTTCGTCCTTGTCAATCTTGAGTTCCTCAACTGTAATGGTTTCCCACTTCTTTGCAATTGCGTTGTACTTGAATGGCACTTTGAAAGTCTCCGCATAAGTTGCTAAGCGGCGTCCAGTTTCCTCAACTCGCTCCGCTGGTCGAAAGCCAGGTTGGGGAAATTCTATTCCAGTAATCCGAAGCTCTGGCGGTCCACCGTCTCTCATTGAGAGGCGTTGAATAAAGGTGGGCCACTGAAATCCATAAAGGATACCGAAGTCTATGACATGAACCCTTGTTGCTTTTGATGATATCTGCATTATTGTCTTATTTGATGGAAAATTAGACATCTTCCTGAATGGGCAGGCAGCAAGGTAAAGACGGTAAGCTTTCAACATATCAGCAGCACATGTTTTTTTGCTAACAAGGCCTTTGTAAATCTGGCTACCTGTACCAGCCAAGCGTGCCTCGAGGCCATCCGCAAAGCAACTAGCCAATCGTTGATTTCCATCACCAAAAGGTGAGGAGTGCTGCCTAACCTGCTTTAGCAGTTCATTTGCAGTCCTATGATCATCAGCTGCAACCGCTTGCGCACATTGGATCAACAGAGTTCTCAAATCGACTACCTGCTTCTTCCCACCAAGTTTCTTACCACGACCCTTTCCTCTTCCATTTGATCCTTTTAATTGACCATTTTCTTGCATACTTTTGCTAAGTCCGTTCCTCAAGGTCTCGCGGAAAGATGACAAATGACACTTACCATCCCCATTACCACAAAGCAGCACAAGATCAAACATCTTTGATCGCAAAGTGGATTCAATGTAAACAGCCGCTAGCTTGCTACTCCTCTCCTCTTCGACATCTTCTTCCTCCCTATAAGGGTTCTTCCTCCCCCTAGAGCCTCCGGGTGAAAATTCCCCATTATCCTTTTTCTCCACCTTGACTGAAACCTCAGTAGGAGCCCCACCCTTCGGATCCAGAGAAGACAATCCATTCGTGTCTAGATTGACAAACAACTCAGTTCTAGCGGGAAGAAACCTACTAGCCTCCTCAACCCCCTTCTGAAACTGCCACACGGATTGACTCTCACTACTCAAATCAGGGACCTGAATAATACTACTAGGAGAATCCAAAAACCCATCCACGCTGCTAAATCCACTATTTGAAGAGCAGTAAGATGATTGGGAAATTCCATAAACAGGAAGATATTGTAATTGAGAGGTGTATTCACTTAGATTTTGACTCATGGTATTATCACCCAAATATTCACGACTATTGTAACTACTAGTGGTGTAATTGGTGCAATTTCCAGCGAAATTTTCATCTGGGCTATCACCATTGTTAAATATGTAACCATAGTTCTGTTCTGGGGAAGGCGGATACTTCTTCCCAAGAACTTCGTAGAACGGCTTTTCAGCAGCCTGAAGATCTAAAGACTCTTGAAGCACACAAGTTTTATCCCCCATGTCCTCCTCCATGAGAATCTGGCTTATGTACTTCAACACCGTGTCCGAAAAGTCACAGTCTTCAGGGGAAAATTCCTCATGGCTCGCACCCGAAATCGAATTTCCACTATCAATTGGGGTCAGATCAGTTGAAGGGTAATGAAATCTACTATGGCTAGGATCCAAAAAGCCATTGTGACTATTATTCCCAATGATATCGAATCGGGGCACGGCCATAACATTCGGATTCGGAAGAACCGAAAGAGGTTGGTTTCCCGTATGAACTCCATTGATGGAGCTAGAAAATCCCCTAAGACGCGGATCCATTGTCATCTACTTAGCAAAAAAAAAAAAAAAAAATCCAACAAAATCCCCAAATTGAAAGTCCTCCAAATTCAAAAACTTCAACCTTTTTCTTCTTCAAAAACAAGCTCAGTCTCGGTTCCAAACCCTAAAAATTATCACAAAAAATGAAAAACCACACATATGAAACCCAACATTTTTGCATCAACAAAACAAAATACCAAAACTTCCAATTCAAGTACAATCTAAACAGAGTGAAATTTCAAATAAAGAGAGCAAAAATGAAAAAAAAAAAAAAAAAAACAGCAGTATCTTTCATTTTCAATACGAACAAAGAATATATATATATATATACATATATAAATATCCATCATAAGAGTAAAAAAAAATAATAACAAAGATAACTTAAAAGATTAAACTCTTACCTTACAGAAGCTCAATCCCAAAGCTCTGATTAAAGAAAGAAGAAGAAGAAGAAAGAGAAAATGACAGAGAGAGTTAAAGAACTGATATCATGATTAAAAACTAATGTCAGTCGTCTTCATTTTCTTCAAGTTGAGTAGACTAAATCATAGCCGTTGATGTCACTTCAAAGCTCTTGTCTCCGTCTAAATTATTGTACCGTGGTCCAATTCCTATTTGACCTATTACTTTTCGCCACGTGTTCTGCTTTATTGAAAATCACATCGAGTTTTTAATTTAAATTGAGATATAATTTTATATGAGAACTTTTTACTGTAATAAAAAAGTTAAATGCGACTATTTTTAAGAGCTTTTTATTATAACAAAACGTGAATCAGTGAAATGAACGAGACCTTAGAATTTAAATTTTGTTACAGTAAAAAATTCTCTGAAACAGTCACATCTAATTTTTTTGCTATAGTAAAAAACTCTCACATAAAGTCACATTTTAACTCGAATCAATGAACTAAATGGGCCCTAAATTTTCATTTTTTTTCCTTGACGTTTTGAGGTTGTGTGTCGCCGGACCATGATGATAGGGACTGGACCACACCCCGCGTTCTCTCGCTGGCTGAATTGACCAAAATAGCCTCGGTCCTTTGATGCAAGATTGACACTTGTCTTTATATGCATTTGGTTGGTATATTCGTATTATGATTTGAATTATAATTCGTGATTCGTTATAATAATTTTTTTAAAAAAACACATATAAATTAAAAATAATTTAAATTATAATTTTAAATTCATAAATTAAACGTCAATTTTTTAAATTAACGGTGAAAAACGTAAGACGACAATTAGAGTGCGGACCAAATGGGAATTTGGTCCCTCACACTTTACTATTTTGTTTTTTGAACTTAAGTGAGAGAGAGAATCTCAAAAAAAAAAAAAAAAAAAAAAAAAGGAGAAGGGGAGGGCACATTAGAATGAGTTTCCA